ACGACGGCCCCGAGGTTAACGGGACAACACAAACAGGTGTAAGGTCAGTTTGCAAAGTGAATGCTCTAAATATACACCTGCAGAGTACCTGCTTCTGTTTGTGGGAGCAAGTGCAAATCCGAAATATCAAAATAATAAAGCTCCTGGCACAGTGTTACAGTATACCGCTGTTTTGTTTCCATTTACGGATTCTGGTATTTAAGTTCGTTTATGGAAGAGGCAAAGGGAGAAACACGAGGAAGCCCATTGGTTCAAAAATGTATCACAGTTGCACTATGCACAGAAAACCGTATGCGGCTGATTCAGCTCAATTTATAGACAATTGAAAAACGAAGGTGAGACTTTCCAGTGTCCGAAACGAAGTCAGAATTGAAAAACAGGTTCACAACGGTTCACAACGCAGGCTTCCAAGTATAGTGAAAGTATTCTCTTAGGCATATCTGTCTCGAGCAAGAGTGAGAATTCCAATGACTATTCACCTATTATCGCTCATAATAAGAATCACGACTAAAAGATGCGTCGCTGAAGATCAGCTCTGGGCACCTCCAGATCCTGCAAGTCGGAATAATTTGAACATGACGGACCTGCTGCCTCTCATAAAGAAGTAACGGGACCTTCCCCCGCAGTAACAACGGCTTTAATCGGGTTGGTACAGTGACCAGTACCTTTTTTATTGCTCAGAATGCTTCTCAGAACATTTAGGACACGCTAGTCCATTCTGACTAAACAGACTTCGTAGTGTCTGCGTAGACTAAACAGTTCCGGAGTCTAACGCCTAGGAAACATCGACTTCTGAAGTCGGGGCAGGAATATATAGGAAACGCGTTCGCTCAACAGGAAGCGGAGATTGTGCCACCATATATTTTAAGTCGTCACGTGAAGTTCTTCCACCTGACATGAATACAATGACGAAAAAAGGCGAAATAGATCAGCAGACGACGTTATTAACAGAGCTGCATACAAGTGTCGCCGTACTTTTAAATAAACGGTCAGAAACTGTACACACTGTCTGCTTCTGAAGTGGCTTGGAAAAAAGGACGTAAGACCCTCCGTTCCGTCCACCGAACCGGCAGTTACCAGCAGTCAACAGTAGATTGTACATTAAGTGTTGACATTTCTTGACTTAAAGACACAAGGCCACAGTTCGACGCATTGTTATGCAACCAAAACATGCAGCAATCCTGACTAAAATCTCAGAAAAAGGCTACAAAATCTGTTGCAGTGTTAGCGACTACGGTTACGTGGGAGAAACAGGGAGGAAAAATACAGGCTCGCATTCACCATTACTTGTGGCAGAAAACCAACACTGCTGTCCAGCTTCCTTGTTCCATGCAAACTGCCTCGAGGTCATGTACCTTCGCAGGCAGCTGTTTCCGACTCACTGGCCTGCAGACTCTTGGCCGATTTCTACGCACGCGCATAAGCGCATCCAGATAGCCGTAGCTGCCAAAGAACCACTTGAACACGCCACCCTACTCCCCCCCCGCCGACGCAAAATTGGCCAATATACACGGCACTCTCCGGCCATTGCAACACATTAATTGAATACCACTTGAATGTGCTTCATAAGCATATAAAAGCAGCTGGCACTACTGTCTGAGACGGCAACTCAGAGTTCTGTGCACAATAAACCACTCAGTCTTTCATTCTGTTTGGCGATTGTACTGATCTGAGTACATACACTACATCGATGCTGCAAACTTAATGACGAAAGAAGGAACGTCAACCCTTAACGCACAATGGGAGTCTTGCTATGCAGACGATTTCTAAGGTCGTTAGATAACCAGAAGTCCCACGCTATCGGAGTGATTCTCAGATGCCAGCACAGCCAGACGCCATATCAACCCTTCTCCGGCTTACCAGGATTTGTACCAATATGCACAAGAAGACCAGCATATGACTGGGGCAGTTA